AGAGGGGGACAAATATCTCTAGTGATAACACTCCAAAACAAGAAAGAAACAAATTTAGCAAAAGATATGCCTATTTATTTTAGTTCACAATTATTAATAATAAAAAATTTTTTATTAAGCTCAATGAAGTGGTCCGGGTGCCAGGTCCCTCTAGTTTTATCCCTGCAGCTGAAAACATAGCAGTTTCAGATAAACTGCTATGTTTCACTGAGGGTTAATCCAGCTCACTGACAGCCGCTAGAGGCGCTTCCGCGATTCTCACTGTGAAAAATACAGTGAGAAGACCCTGGACATCCATAGGAAAGCATTGAGTAATGCTTTCATATGGGCTGTTTGCCACGCATGTGCATTCAGGTCTGATGTTGGCAGGGGGGTGGAGAGTTACCCAGCACAGAGGAAGCCCGGCGCTGGAGAAAGGTAAGTGGCTGAAAGGGTTTTAACCCCTTCAGCCCAGCGGGAGGCGAGCCCTGAGGGTGGGGGGAACAAAATGACCCTATGGTTGACGAGTTTGTTTTCCTGGCACTATAGTGCTCCTTTAATTACGTAACCCAATGTGCAAAAATGTGAGGTTTATACTTAAACTTTCACTATGCCATAGAACTATGAGGCCTGCTGCTGTCAACAGAAATATAATTTTACAAACCAAACGGTCTTGGCTAAACCTTTGCCCTTCTACAGTTTAGTGCTATGGTGCCTGTAATAATCAGCCATACCACCCCCCGCCCCCCTGAACAGCCCCTTCCGCGGATTGAGATAGATGCTAGGCTTTGTCAAATGCCAGCACTGATCACACTGCAGAGGCAACATGCTGAAGTTATAGCATTACAGGGAAATATCCCTGTAATACTGAGAACAGCCAGTAGATGGTGGTCACATACTGCTCTCAACTATTCTAACTAGGAAATCCATCACTGATTTCAGTACTGATATTATTAGAGGGTATTCATTAGGGTCAGGTTATTGTTAAGTGTTGTTTTAGGGTTAGGGATAGTGTAGGTATACGGTTAGAATTAGTGGCAGGGTTGGTATAGGGTTAGCATTAAATAACAAAAATTAGTTTAGCTCCTAGCCACTTAAAGCAAAATTGTCACCATCTGGGGACTTTGCCGAATTCGTAACATAGCCGCTGGCGGTCCGGTGGCTGCGAAGGGGCAGGTACAGGTGAGATTACTTATCTGTACCTGTCCCTCGCAGGCGCCGAAATCTTGGTAGTTCTGCTTCTCTTAAACTCCGCCAACGTCACTACAGTACTCAAACCTGTACTGCTGCATGTGCGAGAGTACAGCATTGACCGCGGGACCCTCCACAGACACAGCCAATTCCCTGCAGCCGTTACTGATGACCGCTGTAGGTCTTGACACATAGGCTCTGCCTTGTGTGAGGTGGAGGAGAAACGCAGAGACAAAGTACATCTCTTCACTGGGTTGGAATTTCACTAGAATTCCAACACAGTCATAATGAGTATTTCATAAAGATTATATCTTTAAAGGACCACTCTAGGCACCCAGACCACTTCAGCTTAATGAAGTGGTCTGGGTGCCAGGTCCAGCTAGGGTTAACCCATTTTTTAATAAACATGGCAGTTTTAGAGAAACTGCTATGTTTATTAATGGGTTAAGCCTTCCCCCTAATCCTCTAGTGGCTGTCTCATTGACAGCCACTAGAGGCGCTTGCGTGCTTCTCACTGTGATTTTCACAGTGAGAGCACGCCAGCGTCCATAGGAAAGCATTATGAATGCTTTCCTATGTGACCAACTGAATGCGCGCAGCTCTTGCCGCGCGTGCGCATTCAGCCGACGGGGCGGAACGGAGGAGGAGAGAAGGAGGAGAGCTCCCCGCCCAGCGCTGGAAAAAGGTAAGTTTAAACCCCTTTCCAGAGCCGGACGGGAGGGGGACCCTGAGGGTGGGGGCACCCTCAGGGCACTATAGTGCCAGGAAAACGAGTATGTTTTCCTGACACTATAGTGGTCCTTTAAGAAATTTATGCGTGGTAACAGTGCTGCTTTAACAATCAGGACTAATATAAGACTCTATTTTGAGCTCTTTTTCTTTAATTGCATTGGATATGTAAAAATTCTTATAAACATGTGAAAAAAAATGATATTTTTAACATTATATTAATACTTAAAGGACCACTATAGTGCCAGGAAAACATACTCATTTTACTGGCACTATAGTGCCCTAAGGGTGCCCCCACCCTCAGGGACCCCCTCCTGCCAGGCTCTGGGGAGAGGAAGGGGTTAAAATCTTACCTTTCTCCAGCGCCGGGTGGGGAGCTCTTCTCCTTCTCGTCGGCTGCACGCGCATTCAGCCAGTCTCATAGGAAAGCATTCATAATGCTTTCCTATGGACGCTTGTGCCTTCTCACTGTGATTTTCACAGTGAGAATCGTGGAAGCACCTCTAGCGGTTGTCAATGAGACAGCCACCAGAGGCTGGATTAACCCTCAGTGAAACATAGCAGTTTCTCAGAAACTGCTATGTTTATTAAAATTTTTTTTTTTTTTTTAAAAAGGGTTAACCCTAGCTGGACCAGGCACCCAGACCACTTCATTAAGCTGAAGTGGTCCTTTAATGTTCTGTTAGATAAACATATAGGTTACTAAAAGAAAAGCCAAAACAAACACATAGCACAAACTCTGAGTTTTGTTTTGCTTCAGGACTTGGACAATGTCCCCGGTCATTAAGGGGTTAAGAGTGATGATTTGTAGTTTTGTAACCAGTAATGAGCGCATGGCTCAGCTCTGCCCAATTACTGTTAACCAATCACAGCCCGGCCTGTGGAATACATTGACGGATTGTAAACAATAAAGAGATCCCTACCTCTACTCAGATAAAACCCTGCTCGCACTCCTATCAGTACTGAACCGGCGGTGACACGGACGTTACGGTTCATATACTGCCCGAAGAAAGTCCCTCCCGCCTCATCACTACCACAGGCGGCTTCAGACAGACAGACCAGGCCTCACGCCGTTACCTAGCAACCGCTCAATCACTGCATAGCCTGCCACGAGCCTTCCCACCCAGCTCGGGGTGGGGGGAGATTCCACTGAGCGCTAAACCGTCATAGGAACCCACTCTCCTCCTCCCCCCGTACACACTGTGAAATGGTTTGTTCCGGGAGCCACATGTTTCTGAGTTCAAACCATTCCACCTGCTTTTCATTTAGTTATTGAGTTCTATGCCTGTATGCTAGGAATTCATAATTGAGATCACTCGGGGATAAGGAGAATTTTATATAATTATAATTAAGAATCTATGTGATAGACTGGGGCGAATCCATGAGTTGTACAATAAGGGGTTTATACCGTTTATTCAACACATAGATGTGGTGAGCTGGCTGGCAAAATGGAAAATGTGGGTATGGGGCCAGCCGGCCAGACGCCATTACCATGAGCTCCTGCACCATGCCAATTAAAAAAACAGGCAATTAAAATCGCCCCAGACTGCCTAAAAATACAAATTTCCACCAGAACCGAACAGTGGATGGCACCAGCTTACCCCCGATACCCGACGTTTACCGCAAGCCATGCAAGCAGAGAAGGCCGAGCACGGCCTACACGAGGCCGAGAGTCAGAAACCCAGCGGCCATTGCAGGCAGCATGGCGCTGCGGAACAGAGACACAGCAAGCCATCCCGCTATGAACATCAAGACAGAGGGAGAACCTCGGCCCAGGGCACAGCCTTGCCCCCCCTGGCCGGTGGTGGATATCCCTGCCTCCGGGTGGAGGAGCAGGTCGCAGCGGGAGTCCCCGCGCGGTCCGTATACCAACAGGCTGCACATAAATCAGCCAGCCAGCAACACTGGATGTAGCCACGGGGGGGCTGAAACACCCGCCCAAGGAAGCACCCCGATCGGGCACAACGAGGCTTGGGCGCACACAGAGATTGCCCCATCACTGGCAAGTACTCCACAAAGGCATTACTGTAGAGTCAGAGGAGTAAAGGTGGAGAGCGCTAACCATGGGAGGCTGTTCTGGACCGCCCAAGCGGACTTGGGCACAGCTAAACGCTAGATGGATGCCCTGTGATGACTGCCCGCTGGAGGAGTGGGTGCCCTAGCCCATGGGTATGTAGGGTCCCCAGAGGGCCATGTCCCTGATGCCGTGAGCCTGGTGGGACGGGCCTACACGACCCCTCCGGTGGCCGGGGAGGTGCGCTGGCTCCAAGCAAGTGGCCGGCACCGGAAGAGACAGAGGGCAACACGCACTTTTGAGTCTGGGGCACTGGGTGGTGATGGGGAGGTGCAGGGAGAGAGGGGCCCGTGGACTCTAGGTGTGGGAGTCATATGGACAGCCCCTGCTCCCGAGTGCCCACAAAGCTACGAAGGGCCCGGAGATGGACTGGGGTTGTTGCAGGGAAGACAGACAGAGACCCAGCGGCCTAAGAACTGCAGGGCAGCTGTGCAATGAGCAGCTCCCAGTGAACGGATATTGAGAACAGCCCAGCTCCGTTGCGGTTAAAAGTGTCAAAGTTATTAATATTACAGTTTTACGCCAACTGAACTGTATACTTATACTGAATTTATATAATATGTTAGTTTATATAATCTGTTACCAACACCACATTGCTTGCAACAGTCTACAAGCATTTACTCTCTAGACCGTTAGCATAAACATGCATGTCTTTAGAGAATTCAGGATCTGTTAGATGGCCCACATACGCATATACATTGCTCCATAAAAAATCCTGAATCAGATTAATAACAGACTAGGCGATCACAATACAGCTAGCGTAACGTCCTAGTTAATATATTTGATTTGATTATAAATACGCAAAATAGATTGATAAGAACCAGACCAGGCAGCAAGGACTTAATGCTATGTTTATACTCGTTACTAAATGATTACTGGGTTCTGCGTGCATGCATCTTCTAGTTGTTGCCTAAATAATTAACCAGATAAATGCTACTAATGGTCTACATATAGTTATAATGGTTGGAATACCTCGCTAGTATACTGCTTTCTCACGCTTGGTCTGAAACCTAGACATTTTCGCAAAGTTAATACACGTTTAACCTACAACATGGCATGATTGCTGAGAATTATTGGCCTCTGCGCAGCAACCATTGGATACCTTTAATAACCTATGCAATAAGAGCTTCATAAAACTAGGCATGACTAGGAGGAATATACAGCCAGCACAATGCGTAAATATGCCTGTTGAATACATATGACATCTTAACTCTCGCAAAGTTCATTACATTTAATTAACTGCTTGTTTATTTTGACGTCTATGCCTCTGCGCAGGCAACCAAATGTATTTTCTATGAATCCGCAATATGCCTGCTCACACTTTATTGCGACTTCAATAAAAATATTCAAAACAAAATGGAAAATGTGTCTTGAAAGACCAGACACTGAAAATGATGTCTTTGGAATTGGAGAGGTTTTATTTTGCTGTCAACTTAAAGTGGCTTTTTAAAAAAAAAAATTAAAATGTATATTCCGGTTCTCGTGCTCCCTGTATCCAATGAACCACCGGATACCATAACAAACACATTTACTGGAATAGTTGTTATGGTGCCATGATATCCCAAATGGTTTAACCCCACAGTCTTTTCTTCTCATAAGCAGCGCCGGTTAGCTCTGCTCCATCTGCTTGTCTGAAATTCTTAAAACAGAAAGCTTCGGATTGCCCAAGCGCGTCGGCTGATACTCTAAGCCGATCACTAGGCCCCAATTAATAAAATGACTTGAGAAATTGTGTGAGGCTTCCTGTCTGAAGAATCTCAGAGAAACGGAAGGATGGGGCAGAGCTGATGTTAAACCGTTCACGAACAGTATAACCAATAAAAGGTAAGCTGGCTCCAGGGACCTTCTACAGTACTCAGGAAAAAATAAATAAAACTTCATAAAAATGTTTACAAAAAATTCTGAAACAGGGAACTACCTTTAATTCAAGGGGTTGAACAAAAATTTTGTATAAAACATTTAGTAATTACAACCAGTTTCATACACAGTGACATTATTTCAGGTGCTGCAATGTAATTGGACAAATAAAAACAATCATGAAAAAAATAAAAAATGTATTACTTTATCAAGAATCCTTTGCAGGCAATGACTGCTTGAAGTCTGGACTGCATGGATGTGACCAAATGTTGGGTTTTCTCCTTTGTGATGATTTGCTAGGCCTTTACGGCAGCTGTCTTCAGTTGTTTGTTCGTGGGTCTTTCTGCCTTATGTTTTGTCTTCAGCAAGTAAAATTCATCCTCGATCGGGTTGAGACCAGGTGATTGACTCTGCCATTGCAAAATATTCAACTTCTTTGCCTTAAAAAACGCCTGGTTTGTAGACCTGTGCATTCGTTTTCGTACGAATAAGATTTCGTAGAAAAGTTCTGGGTTTTTTTCGTATTTGTTTACTAAAACATAAACGAAAGCCCTACAAACGAAATATAGATGAAAGGGCAAATGCCGAATGCATTATCGTTTAGTTTCGTGGAGGTTAAATCCTCCCGCATGCCCCTTCTCGTGGCATGCCGCAAGTAGGGGCATGTCGCCTAAACAAATTTAGAGCTACTAGTGACTGGGCAGCTATTGCTGCCCAGTCACTAGTGCAAAAAGGGGGGACCTGACACTTAGAGGTGTGTGTGTAAATAGTTGTTCACAACTATTGCTCTATGTTTTTACATACAGATACACACTGATCCACATACAGATGTACAGACAGACACAAACACTGCCACACATGCTGATACACAGACACACAGATGCAAACACTGACATACATTTAGTTGCACAGACACACAGATACAAACACTGCCACACATGCAGATACACAAACTGGCACACATACAGATGTACAGACACACAGATACGAACAGTGCCACACATGCAGATACCCAGACACAGTGATGGAAACACTGACAGACACACAATTACACAGACACACTTGTGTACATGCAGATGCACAAACACACACTGCCACTCTTGCAGATGCACAGATACAAACACTTACACACATGCTGATACAAAGACACAGAGATGCAAACACTGGCACAGGCACACAAATATACGTACCAATACCTACAGATCACACACTGACACACATACAGATTTACATCCGGACCCAAACACTGCCACCACACATGCTGATATAAAGACACAGATATGCAAACACTGACACACATACAGTCGCGCACACAAACACACTTTTACACAGACTGACAAACATGCAGATACACATATAATACACTGACCCACATACAGATGCAGGCACACATACAGTTGCATAGACACACTAATACATGCAGATATACACACTGCCACACTTACAGATACAAACACTGACACACATAGTGATGTACTGTCACACAGATACAAACACTGAAACACATGCAGATACACTGACAAACAGATGCAAACACTGACACTGATACGCACTGGCACACCTGCAGATACACATATACAAAAAACTGACACACATACAGACAGGCACACAGATACACAGTCTGACACATACAAACAGAGGCATAACTAGAAAAAAACACCTGGTCCTGGTGCAGAAATTGTCCTGGGGCCCCCCATGTGTCTCATCCCCCGAGCCCCTCCTGGTGTCACATTCTCTCCCCCTTCATGTATCTCAATCTCCCCCCCACCCCTCAGCCCCTTCATTTGTCTCATTCTCCCCTCCAGTCCCTCCATGTGTCTCATCCCCCCACGCCTCTCCATATGTCTCATTCCCTCCCAACCCCTCCATGTGTCTCTCCCCCATATCCCATCCCCTCCATGTGTCTCTCCCCCATCTCCTTCATGCATCTGTCTTTCACCCATCTCCCCATCCCCCATCCCCTCCATGTGTCTCCCCCATCCTCTTCTGCTCATTATAGCGTGGCCGAGCGACCTTGGTACTCGTTCTGACAGGAAGGGCTCTATCAGTGAGTACTTCCTGTCAGACTGCGGTCTGCTCGTTCATGCTACATACAATGGACAGGAGGGGAGCATTGTGCAGGGCATGCGGCCGCCAGTCACCCGGCGACCGTATGCCCTGAAGTGATGCCGGCCCACGGTCGCAGCTGCAACTCCTGCGACCATGGTAGTTTCGCCACTGCATACAGATAGACACACATTAGCACACATACAGATGTACAGACACACAGATACTAACACTGCCACACATGCAAATACAAACAATGACATACACTCAGATACACAGACAAATAGATCCAGATACATACACTGATACAAACAATGACACAAACATACACACAAATATATACACTACATACATACAGATACAGGCACCAAAAACACTCATACAAGTGAACAGTTTAGCAACCCTCCAGTTTCCTAACTTATGGGAGCAGGAGGGTGACTTCTGCTGGCTGGAGGTGTTGGGAGTTAGGAGGCAGACAGAGGTAAGGGTGCTATAAATGTAATAAAGGCAGGGTTAACATGTAGCGGGATGGGGTTATGCAGAGGAAGCGTTGTTATGCCAACAAAGGGGCGGGTTGTGCCAACAAGGGGGGGAATTATAACAGAGTTGGAGTTAGGTCAGTAAAGGGTTCAGATACTGTTTGCGGGTGGAGGTGGCCACAAGCAGCTCGCGGCCTGCACCTCCCGCCTGCTGTATCTGTTTGAGCTGGGAGGAAGTGCCCAGCTCACTTTCACTTCCTCCAAGCAAAGAAGAAGGGGCCTGGTTGCGCTAAAGCCCCGCAATGCATGACCGGGACCCTCGTGGCACATGTCTATCGGGTGGCCCTCAGTGCCTGGGCCACCTGATGGACTTTCACCCAGGTTCCCAACCCATGCGGTGTGGCTGCACCGCCGCCATTACAGGTTTATTTTTGTGTACCACCAGAGGCACTGAATTGTACCCCTGGGGGTATGCGTACCACGGGTTGGGAACCCCTGGTATAGACACTGAAGCACATCTGCACAAGGTCTTTCTATATTTGTACTAACAGTGTCACCACTGATACCCAACTCACCTTAAAGTGATAAAACGTACCTGCCTGATATAGATGCTGTGCTGTGAATGTATCTATCGCATACCAAGGATGCATGGTACTGTTGGTGGGAACTTGGTGTAATAAAGGTCTAATCAATAAAGAGAGAATTGCAGGGAATTGAGATGGGAATTTCAAACTTTAGGCCGAAATAATGCAGCTGAATGGGAGATTCTTTCCAACTTGAAATTATAATCTCAGTTCCTTGTAATTCTCTGTTTATTGAGTAGCCCTATAATCTTCCTTATAATAAGAAGGCGGAGATTAATTATGTGGGTTGGGCAGAGTAGGCGGAGCTTTGCAGCAGCGGGTGTGGTAAATTTTTGGTGAATTTTCTGTGCTGCAAAGTGTTCCTGGAAATTTTTATCAAATGTTGGCAGCTATGGCAAAGCATCAAGGGTGATGTAGTCCTCAACTTCTGGAGTGCAGAAGGATGCCTACCTCTGCGCTATCCCTTTTAACAGGTTAGGGTGAAATTGTGGTAGAATGAACACATGGCAAAAGTGACAAAAAGGCCTTAGTTACAAATGCTTTGCATCTCAATATAGCCTTGGTCCTTGGTTAACTTCCTGTCCATGTTGCCATGGATATATCCAGAAACAAAATCAGTCAGTATTATTATTATTATTATTATTTATAAAGCGCCAACAAGTTCTGTAGTGCTGTACAATGGGTGGACTAACAGACACGTTTGACGCCCAGGAACAGAGGGATTGAGGGCCCTGCTCAATGAACTTACATGGTAGAGGGAGTGGGGTATAGTGACACAAAAGGTAAGGATAGGGTAGAAAAGTAGGTTGCTAAGATAGTATTCATTGAGGGCTTAGTATTTTGTTTTGATGACAGTTTCAGGAAAGGAATTGGGGTGCGGGGAGGGAAAGCTGTTCACTGTTTAATTGATATGCTTTCAAAAATGTCAAAGGTTTTCAAAGATATTTTGAAGGAGTGGAGATTGAGTGAGAGTCTAACAGAGAGGGGAAGGGCGTTCCATAGGAACGGTGCAGCCCTAGAGAAGACTTTAAGGTGAGCATCAGAGGTGGGAGTATGAACAGAGGTTAGACGTAGGTCTCCGTCAGAGCATAGGGGCCTAGACGGGACATATTTGTGTATTAGTGAGGATAAGTATGGAGCAGCATTGTGTAGAGATTTGTAAGCAAGTGTCAAGATCTTAAATTGAGTCCTATATCTTACAGGAAGCCACTGGATGGACTGACAAAGGGGGATGCATGGGAGGTGTGGGCGAACAGGAAGATGAGCCTCGCCGCCACATTCATTATGGACT